TGCTTCCGTTTAGCTCGCTAATTTCAAGGGTCTGTGTGGAAACCGGTAGGTATACCCCATTGGGCTGGTCTCGCGGGGCTGCGGCTGTGGCGCCTGTGATATAAAGGAGTCACCGACGCCCGCATGTTGATCGCCGACGGCCCAGGACGCCCGCGGGCAGTCATAAAGGTGCCGCGGCCGTCCTAAACGCCAGCCCACGACCGAATGAGGTGCAGAGCCGGGGGAGCCCTGCAGGCAGCGCGGCGCTCACCGGCCCGGCCGCTCCTCTCGGAGACCGGGAAGTGGCTCCCAGCCGCCGCACGCCGGCCCTGCGGCAGCCCCCAGTCCCATCGCTACCCAGTCGGCGTCCCCGCCGTCCGATGTGTGCCAATGTCGGCCCCGCGGCTCGACCCGCACATCGGCACCTCTGTACTCGATTGAGTCACACAAACATCACTTCGATGCATACCTTTGCCATCTGGCATCTCCAATGCACCTTTCATGGCTCAAATGATAAACATGAATTACAGTTCTGGGATAAACTAATGGAGAACGATATCCGTCGAGCATCCAGGAATCCGGAGCGCAACAGTCGTCGCTCGCAGGACACGGCGGTAGGTCGGACCTCGGCCAGCCGCGCACAGAGGGACGGTCGGACTGCGACCAGCCGCGCACAGAGGGACGATGGGACCTCGGCCATCCGCGCACAGAGGGACGGTCGGACTGCTATACTAGCCGCGCACAGCGGGACGGTCGGACCTCGGCCAGCCGCGCACAGAGGGACGGTCGGACTGCGACCAGCCGCGCACAGAGGGACGGTCGGACTGCGACTAGCCGCGCACAGAGGGACGGTCGTACCGCGATGGATCGGGCAGGCCGGAAAGGGAAAGACGACCAACCCGCAATGGGAAACCCAGTGGGCCGGAACAGCACACACGGCAGCCAGCAGCTCCTGGTAGATTTGACGCCGGAGCTGATGGTGACTGACACTCAGCCGCCTCGGCGGAGCGGGAGTGTGCAGTCGGTCCAGCAGTCGGTCCGTCGGTCGGTCCGAGGTCGGCGACCCCGCCGCTCCGGCTCCGGCTCCGGCTCCGGCTCGGACTCCGGTTCGGGCCGGCCGGTCCCGGTCACGGCGCCGACAGAGAGCCAGAGCGGCGACCCGGCCGGCCGGCGGACCGGTCCGACCGGGGCCGTACAGGTCACACGGGGACACAGCTGGTCACACGGACACAGACACAGGCGGTCACACTGACACAGACACAGCGACACATGGACACAGCAGGTCACACACGGACACAGGCGGTCACACACGGACACAGCCGGTTACACGGACACAGACACAGCCGGTCACACGGACACAAACACAGCGACGCATGGACACAGCAGGTCACACGGGGACACAGACACAGCCGGCCACACGGACACACAGACACAGCCGGTCACACGGGGACACAGCCGGTCACACGGACACAGACACATGCGGTCACACGGGGACACAGCCGGTCACACGGACACACAGACACAGCCGGTCACACGGACACAGGCGGTCACACTGACACAGACACAGCGACACATGGACACAGCAGGTCACACGGGGACACAGCTGGTCACACGGACACAGCTGGTCACACAGGGACGGAAAGAGGCGCTCACACAGGCACAGCCAGACACGGACACACAGACACAGCAGGTCACACGGCCGGACGCAGTCACATAGACATAGTCGGTCACACAGACGCAACCGGTCACACAGACACAGCAGGTCGCACGGGCACACAGACAGCTCTGTGACCAGTCTGCGTCTGTGCCGGTCCCACGGGCGGGACGCGGTAACACAGACACAGCAGGTCACACGGGGACACAGCCGGTCACACGGTCACACAGACAGAGCTTTGTGACAAGTCTGTGTCTGCGCCGGTCCCACGGGCGGCACGGGGCCGGCCGGTCACACAGACAGCTTTGTGACCAGTCTGTGTCTGCGCCGGTCCCACGGCCCGGGACGCGGCCGGCCGGCGCGCTCGGATGCAAGATAACGGAGCCGGACGACCCCGTTCCAGGGAGCCGGACGAGACTGTGGCAGCAGGTAGCGCCAGAGCGGCGCTAGTGTGTGGTTCATTGTGGCAGCAGGTCGCGCCAGTGCGGCGCTAGGGTGTGGTTCATCACACTGCGCAGCTACTGAGTAATCCCGAGACCCGTGGGATCGAAACCAGCAGTGTTGCCAGAGTTGGCGTATCTACCGAGGAGGACGCAGAAATCATTCAGAATCCGATACAAGCATTACCGTTAAGTAGGAACCCCGCCGAGCTGGGTATTCAGATCGCATCTAAATGTAATGCAGCGCATTAGCAACTGTGATCACTATAAGCAGAGTGGAGGCCAATGCCGGACTGGGCGGGTTGTGGGCCACGGCGGCTGTCCCGGCAGAGGCGCGGTGTGCGGCGCGGACCGGCGCTCGGCGCCTGTCTCGGCAGAGCCGCGATGTGGTGGGGGAGGAGCGGCCGGCGCTCAGCGCCTCCTCTGCTGAGCGGCGCGGACCGGCGCTCGGCGGCTCCTCTGCTGAGCGGCCAGCCCAGCTCGGACCGGTCCGGTCTAACCGGCCGGTCCGCTCGGCCCGCGGCCTTTGCGCCACACACGCCGCTACTCCGCCAGGAATGCGCCGCCGGCGCCGCGCGCCACCACCGGCCGGCCGCAGAGGTCACAGATGCGGCGGCAGCAGGGTCCACTGCAGAGGTCACAGACGCGGCTGCAGCAGAGTCCACTGCAGAGGTCAGACGCGGCTACAGAAGAGTCCACTGCAGAGGTCACAGACGCGGCTACAGTGGAGTCCACTACAGAGGTCAGAGACGCAGCGGCAGCAGAGTCCACTGCAGAGGTCAGACGCGCAGCGGCAGTGGGGTCCACTGTAGAGGTCAGAGACGCAGCCGCAGTGGAATAAAATGCGGGCGGCAATTAAATGTCCAGTGGCCAACTTGGGCCGACCGCACTGACCGCACAACAGGACGGTCCAACCGGCCGCGCTGACAGACCGGTCCCGGATGGAGAACAAGCCACCATCTCCGCCGCGGAACCGGCAAACAGCGCAGATACATAACCTGCAGTCGGAGGCGAACGACAACCACGCCGGCGACAGTCGGGGACAACCACGCCGGCTGACAGTCGGGGGTGTCCGACACACAAACAAACCGGTCCAAGGTCCGAGTCCGGCCGGCGGCAGCCACTGCCCGGCCCGGAGAGCGGCCAAAAACAAAGGCCAGCCCCGGACCGGAATGGAGCCCCCACTAGCCGAGCTCTGCAGAACGCAATAACAACCGACAGCCGAACCGTATTTAATGAGGAATAAACCCTAAATCATTTGACAATATCAGCACTGGTTTTAACTTTAAAGTACCGGTGCCGGAATAAGTAAGACTGTATCATATATTGCAGCATAACTTCGTTCCCCATTTGCATATTCAAGTTTTAAGTGGCTGTAGCGTTCAGATGCGAGGTGATAAAACATGAGATATGAATGAAATGAGTACGAAGAGTCCCGAACCATTAAATTGTACCCTCAATTGTAGTTCACGACTTACGAACAGCTAATAGCCAAACGTGGACAAGTGGCTCCAGATCCAAAGGCAATGATTCGTTTGCATCAGTGAAAGTTCAGTTGCGAACGATGCGACAGCCCGCAGGGGCGCAGCCATTCACGTGTATGGGCGCGCCGTGCTCCAGCGCCCACACAGGTTGTGTGCGCAGCGCCCGCAGGTTGTGTGCGCAGTGTGGGCCTTCGTCCCGGTCAGTGGGACACCCACTAAGGTGGCCGACCGAGCGGGACAGGTGTACACTGTACACAGGTGTACAGGTGTACAGAGTGACGGAGTCGCCTCGGTCAGCCCTGAGCTGCCGTGGTGATCCGCCAGTGAGCACACCGGCCGGTCGTGTCACACAGAGAGTACACACACCAGTCCAGGGCGGCGCGGGCAGGCACAGCCACAGTCACCCTCGGACCGCGCAGTGCAGACTGCTGAGAAGCCCCGCGGACTCCTAACCACTGCCACACACCGTACAGCGACCCCAAACGGCCCATCTGCTGCCTGTGCCCGGCCCGCCAGCGGCCCTACCCGCCCGCCAGCAGTCCGAGCTGCCCAAACAGGATGGTACTCCCGGCCGCGCCCCGGGCTGCTGCACCGACGGTACGTCAATGCAGGCGACCTGGCTCTGCCAGCGCAGCACACAGTCCCTCCCACAGCTCCGCGCCGCTATCTACACAGCCACAGTGTACTGGCGGATGCGGCATGACACGGAGTCAGTACGGGTTTCTCGGCAATGCGCGACGATGGCCGCCGTCCAACACGCCGTGTACACTAGAGCAGCAGCTGCGTCCCGCGCTCCAACTATCCACGCCGTGTAAACTGTATAGCGTACAGTGTATAGACACTGCAGCAGCTGCGTCCCGCGCTCCAACTGTCCATGCCGTGTAAACTGTATAGCGTACAGTGTACAGACACTGCAGCAGCTGCTGCGTCCCGCGCTCAGACTGTCCACTCCGTGCCAGCTGGCCATGTTTTCACATCACTACATTACATACCTAAAGTCGCGGCGCTGGCACTCCTCACCCGGCAGCGCCATCTCCACAGTCAGTGGACAATCCCGTCAGCAGCCAGTGCCCCCCCCCCCCCCCCAGTTCCCAGTGCCACCACCGTATCCCAGTGACACCCCTCCCCCAGTCAGTGGGCGCCCCAGATTTCAGCGTCGCCACCATACCCCAGTGCCACCCCTCCCCCAGTCAGTGGGACTGGGCACTCTAGAGTCAGTGGTCAGTGTCCATTCCCCTCCAACCCTCACAATTGGGACATCGACTTCGCGATAGCATTATATCCCCCTGGTTAAGCAATGTCACGAGTTACTCAGCCATTATCAGACAGACGGTTAGACTGACCCGGACGTGGTAGCCCCTCCCCTCCCCTACCCACAGCCGGGACTGACCAGTGGGCGTGGGGGCCGCCCCTCCCCCCAAAACACCCACAGCCGGGACTGACCTGGGCGTGGGTGCGCTGGAGCGCGCCTTGGAGAGCAGCTTTCGGGCGCGTTCGTACTCGTTGTTCTCTGACTCGAGTTTGACGGCGGCTAGCCAGATCTCCTCAGAGTTGGGGTTGGCCTGGAACGCCATCGACAGGATCGAGCGCGCCGCCGGAACGTCATTCTGCCGGCACCAGGGTCAGGTCAGAGGCGATATTGGAAATAAGACCCTTTGCTTGTTGCAGTTGGGTCCAAAAGGTTTTGTTCTCCTTCACAAGTTTATGCCCCTGCACCTGAAATCCTGTACCTAGATTTTCCAGCCTCTGTAATGAATAACTGATTTTAACGCACCCAAAATATCCAGTAATGGAATTAAGAGTCAAAGATCTTATTATCTATCACATTTAAGGCGAAAACTATGGTTTCGCAATTGGTTGTTCTAAAAGCTGGCCTGTTCTCCAGACATATTTTAGTCTCCAGGACCAGGATCCAAAACGACGATTCCAACATTGATCAGAGGTCAGACTAGGGGCACAGGTCTGAGGGGGCACAGGGCACAGGTCAGAGCTCAGAGGCGGCACAGGTCAGAGGTCAGACTAGGGGGCACAGGCCAGAGGTCAACATGGGGCACAGGGCACAGATCACAGGTCAGAGGGGCGCAGCTCAGAGGCTAAGAGGCAAACGTCACAGATCAGAAGTCAGATTGAGGGCGCCGGCCGGTAACCGTTAGTCTCGATAAGGTAATCGGGGGGTTGAGATTGCAGTGCAGTGCAAATCATGACGTGCGCGCTTTGAACAAGTCTCGGGTAAGTGTGAACACGGCTCAGTCCGGTCTGAGCAAGATAAAACTAGCCGTACACGAGCTTCGGGGAAGCAAACGTCTCCTGAATACTGCAACAGCAGCCATGGAAAAGCGCCAGTTTGTAATCAGTGCATATAACCAACCAGTACCATTAGCTAAACCACAAACAAATGAGAACAGTCCTGCAAGGCAACGAGCTGTACGTTTTTATTATAGTTACATAAACTGAATGCTAGAATTCGACTTCAAAACCACGACAGTTCCGAGCAAGAACATCCTAAGTGTCAAATTTTTCGAAATTGAGATGTTCATACCATTCGACTCAGCTCGTCGAGCTGAGTCGAATGGTATAAAAATCTCAACTTCGAAAAAAATTTGACACTAAGGATGTTCTTGCTCGGAGCTGTCGAATATAAAAACCCCATAGGCCCGGTGTCTCACTCACCGCCAGCCATTTGGACTTGGCTCCCATCAGCCAGAGCACCTCAGCGCGGGGACAGTGTGAGACGGCCTGCTGCAGCAGCGACTCCAGGCTCTCCCTGTCGGGGGAGCACAGAGGTCAGAGTACGAGACAGACACAGCACATCAGAGCGGGGTCAGTGGGAGACAGCAGCGACTCCAGGCTCTCCCTGTCGGGGGAGCGCAGAGAGCGGTCAGAGTACGGGACACAGTCCGCCGCCGTATAGGGGAGGGACCGGGGACGGACAACAGTCAGGGACGGGACCGGGGTCATCAAACAGCCCTCCCACACAGGGAGAGGAGAACAGAGTCAGGAGGTGGGGAGACGGACGGCCTCCCCAGTCGCCACACGGGCCGCCTGGGACCCGGATGACCGGCCGGTGGCACCGGTCATCACGCGGAGAGCTGGACGGTGTTGATATTGGCAGGTTAGCTCCAAGTTGTGGCAATTCATACGAACGGTAAGCAACGGCAGGCAATATATCAGCGTTTAGCAGAAGTACCCTGCCGCTGCCCACCCGCTCCCGATTTGCCGTGAGCCGCCCGGCCGCCCCAGCCTCCCACTCACCGGGTGCCGTGCGACTTCTCGAAGTAGGCCGCCGCCAGCCAGATGGACTTTTTGCTCGGGTAGGCGGCCAGCGCGTGGGCGTAGATGGCGCGCGCGCACTCGACGGCGCCCTGGGCGGCGCACAGCTCGGCGTCCTCCATCCACTGGCTCTTGCGGTCCTCCTCGTCGACCCCGTAGCCGATGACGGCCGTGATGACGGCCTGGCAGGTCAGCACCGAGCCGGAGCGCTCGCACTGAACCGCGTCCTTCAGCCAGAACTCGCGGTTGATCTCGACGCCGTTGGCCGACAGCGAGGAGAGCGCCCGCTCCACAATGCGGCTCACCATGGCCGCGTTGTCGTTGGCCTCCTCCAGTTTGGCGGCGCACAGCCAGATCTGACGGTCGGTCGGCACGTTTTCGCGCGCCTTGTTGAGCACTTTGCGCGCGTTCTCGTACGTCTCCAGCCGGGCGAGGGCCAGCCACAGTTCGACAGCGGTGGGGCAGCACTCGACGGCGCGCGAGAGCAGGATGCGCGCGTCCTCTCGCTCCTCCAGCTCGACGGCTGCCTTCCAGAGGCGGACAGAGTTGGGCTGCAGCTCGAGCGCCTTGCGGAACACGCGCCGCTTGCCCTTGAGCTCGAGCTCGAGGTCGGCCGCCTTGAGCCAGAGCCGCACCGAGTTGGGCAGCTGCCTGACCGCCTGTGCCACCACGCCCTTGGCCGTCTCCGGCGGCTGCAGGCGCGCCGCCTCCAGCCACACGTCCTCCGCGTTCGGACACGCCTCGCAGCCCTGTCGGACGGGGGAGAGGGGGGGGGGGGGTCAGCTCTGTCAGAGACGGGGAGGGGGAGGGGGGTCAGTCGTTCGGACACGCCTCGCAGCCCTGTCGGAGAGAGGGGGGGGGGGGGTCAGCCCTGTCGGACGGGGGGGGGGGAGTCAGCCGTTCGGATACGCCTCGCAGCCCTGTCGGAGACGGGGGGGGGGGGGGGTCAGCCGTTCGGACACGCCTCGCAGCCCTGCGGACGGACGGGGGGGGGGGGGGGTCAGCCGTTCGGACACGCCTAGCAGCCCTGTCGGAGACGGGGGGGGGGAGGGTTAGCCCTGTCGGACGGGGGGGGGGGGAGTCAGCCGTTCGGACACGCCTCGCAGCGCTGTCGACGGGGGGAGGGGGGGGGGGGGGTCAGCCGTTCGGAAACGCCTCGCGGCCCTGTCGGACGGGAGAGGGAAAGGGAGGGGAGTCAGCCCTCCAAGAAGCTTCTTGAGATCAGGCTACTAATATACAATCCCTCGGCAAAAGTCTCCCAGAGGGGACCCGCCGATAACCTGTCGTCTTTAGGGCCCTGTTCATGAAGTCTGCGGTCGCTGCGGTCGGCCGCAGGTTCTAAGCCCCGCCCATTTTTGAAACGTCATCACTTACTCGGCCGCAGCAGCGTTCCATGAACAGCGTCTGCTGCCGAAATAGTTTCCGACAATTGTTTACAACTGACGCACACTGCTAGACAATTTGTTTACAAAATCGTCTCCATGACAACACGGCTTGCGCCTATTTGACTTCAGTGCGCCAAGTTCAATGCAATTAGTTTTCTTGCGGCTCGGCGGTCGCTGGATTGCGGCCGCAGAGATCGCAGCGGCCGCAGCAAGGTGACGTCATACATTCGTCATACTACATGAGCCCCACCCCTTTTCGTGACGTAACAACCCGGCTGACCGCAGCGACCGCAGCGGCCGCAGCGACCGCCGGGGTTCATGAACAGGGCCCAGCATTCATCGACAGCGCCGATCTGACATGTCCGACCCTGGTCACATCAGACGGCCAGTGGCCAGAGCTGAACGCCCGCTGCGGCGCTCTGCACAGTTCAGCCGGTCCCCGACATACACCGACTCACCATCAGCGACAGCTCACCTACCGACTAACGATCGAGAAATAAAAGGGGCCTTACCGTACCAGCGACTGAGAGAGGTTACCGTCCCCTCCCGATCAGCAGCCCGGCGGTCCTCCGATCAGGTGGACCAGCGGCCCACCGGCACAGTCCCTCCCGCCCAGCGGCGCCGCGGCCCGCCCGGTCAGCGGCCCGCCTGACCCGCTGTCCCTCCCGGTCAGCAGCCCGGCCCACCTTCATGATGAGGTTCCTGGCGTTCTGCAGTTTTCCGGTGACCTCCTCCAGGCGCGCCGAGGCGATCCAGGCTGGCGGGTGCTGCGGGTTCGTCTCGCGGACAGACTTCATCAGCAGGCGCGCCTTCTTGATGTCGCTGAAGGAGTGTTAAGAGACAGGGGTCAGGGGTCGCACAGCCCCCGCCTCGTCTAGGACGGCTCACCGGGCCCAGTCACTAGAGTAGGCGCTACCGCATTACTGCACACTGCTCTCCAGAAAACACGGACAAAATTCAAACCTATACGTGTCGCAAAACTAATCAAACTCGCCCATAGTAATGTGCCACATATTTCTATATGTGCACGAAGCACACCGAAAAACTTGAGCCAAAATACGTAGATCAGAAGCACTTCTGCTGAGCTGCTGCAGCACACGCCACCCGGTGGCCCGGTATGCACGTACTTGATGTCTGAAGAGAAGTTGGGTATCATGCTCTGCAGGTCTGTGAGGTAGCCCTTGGGGTCGACCACCGTCTGGCCCGACACCGAGTCAGACACCTGGTTCAGCTTCACGTTCATCAGCGTGTTGCGCGCCTGGCCGATCTTGCGCAGGTCCAGGTCGCCCGAGGGCGTGACCATGCCGGGCGCCGTGCTGGCCGTGCCCGGCAGCATGCTGGCCAGCCCGCTGCTGGCGTCGATGCTGTGCACCGTCTCGCCGCCCAGGCTGCGGCCCAGCACAGAGTCGGGCAGCGGGGTGAACTTCTCGGCGCGCGGGTTGCGCTGTTTGCGGTTGCGCGCGTCGCCCACCTCGGGCAGGTTGTCCCAGTCGTCCTTTGAGACCTGCACCAGGTCGCGCTTCAGGTCGGAGAACTGCTGCTGGATCTTGGGCCGCTCGGCGCGGTACCGCTCCAGCTCCTCTGAGGGGGCGGGGGGGGGGGAGTCAGAGACACGGTACCGCTCCAGCTCCTCTGTGTGTGTGTGTGTGTGGGGGGAGGATGGGGGGTCAGAGACACGGTACCGCTCCAGCTCCTCTGTGGGGGGATGGGAGGGGGGGGGGGGGGGTCAGACACGGAAGGCACGGCAACGATCAGCTCAGTCCCGGGGCAAATAACAGCAGCAGCGCAGGCTCCCTTTAACCGTGAAGGCAACACATCCGAGACATAATATTGCATATATATTGACATATATTGCGGATGTTAAAATAGATTTTACATCGGTATTCGGTAGGTACCCAAAAAGTAATGATGCAAGCATTTACAAACAAAAAAAAAAATCATGATGCCAGCAGCACACTATCGGCATTCATCTACCGGCGCTGGTATTGGAGGCAGTTGACGCACTGGTGATCGCTTGCCGACCCCGTTTCCCATTGGCCCTCACCCGGCGCCCTCGGCGCTCACCCTTGAGTTTCTTCTCCCTGTACTCCTTGCGTTTCTCGTCCATGCGCTCGTCGACGGCGTCGTAGATGGCATCGGCCTCCTCGTCGTCTTTGTCGTACGGGTCCTTGTTGAACAGCGAGCCGCCGTAGCCGGTAAACTGGGGACACAGCGGGGCGGGGTGGGGTCAGCCCCGTCCCGCAGTACTGGGGCCAGTCCCGTGCGGGACACCCTGGGGTCAGCCCCGTCCGGGCAGTACTGGGGTCAGCCCCGTCCGGGCAGTACTGGGGTCAGCCCCGTCCGGGCAGAATTGGGGGCAGCCCCGTCCGCAGGGTTTCGGAGTCGGAGTCGGAGTCGGAGTCGGAGTCGCCCGGAGTCGTGTCAAGCAGCCAGGAGTCGGAGTCGGAGTCGGAGTCGGTCCAGCTGCCTCGACTCCGACTCCGGAAAATAACTAGAATCCGTGATATCACTTTTCAGTTTTTTTTTTACCAGTTGCCCGTGGTAGAATTCGCTTCCGGCGATAAAAATTGCACAGATCTTGTTTTTGTTCTGAACGTCAAACATTCGATCTTACAGGTTTCAAGTTATATCATAATTTAGTAGCCAAGTATTTTGTATGCGCGTTATAACTTCCACTATCTGAAGTATTGGACGAGTCAAAGACTAGTTAAATGACAACTGTATTTTACTTTCTTCGTTTATCGCTCCAAAAAGTATAAACACATAGGAATGACCGAGTCCGACATGATAGCGACGCTTCGTGTTCGTGATACGGCCGCCTCTTGCGCTTCTCGGAGGGTTTCCACGCTGGCCGCTGACCTCTTGTGGATTCAGCTGCGTCCACGTGGGAGAAATGGTGACTGCATGAAGGAAACCGGAGAGTACAGGGTGTAACGAAATTATCCGGACATCTATTTTTCGCTATATCTGCTCGCACAGTTTCTTTTTTGATGTCAGAGCTGGAAAATTGGATGATTGCATACCTCTGGTATCTGCTCACAACTCAGCAGTGATCGGACCTTGCGAAATGACTCTTGCTCTGAGTAAGAGTCGAGTCGCCGACGGGTTCATTTGATAGTTTTCGTTTAAGGCAGAGTGGAGAGAAGGGAGTACAGTCTGAAGTCTCTCGTTTCGTAGTAAGGTTACGTGTTGGTGGCATGGTGGCATGAGCCAGAAGCTGGTCTGTCAGCAGCTGGACATCAGCAGAAGCCAGTAGCACATCTGCCTGAGGCGTAATAAGCTGGGACTTGGTGGCAGACTCAGCCCGGCCTCGATCGCGAAAGGCGCCCTTTGGCAAGTGGTGGGGAGAGTTGTCAAGATAGCGACAAGGAAATGGCACTAATTAATCCCCGAAGAAAGATGTCCGGATAATTTCGCTACACCCTGTAGGAGCGTTCTCCCCGTGCACGTAGACCTTGCACGTGGCGTCATATCACGCAAAATTTTGGCGGCCGCCATTGCCCTTCGTATCAGACCCGGAGTCGGAGTCGGAGTCGGAGTCGGAGTCGGTCAGGAGCCCGGAGTCGGAGTCGGAGTCGGAGTCGGAACAGCGCTACCACGACTCCGAAACCCTGCGGCCGTCCGGGCAGTACTGGAGTCAGCCCCGTCCGGGCAGTGCTGGGGTCAGCCCCGTCCGGGACACACTGGGGTCAGCACCGTGCGGGACACCCTGGGGTCAGCCCCGTCCGGGCAGTGCTGGGGTCAGCACAGAGCGGGGTCAGTCGCCCGGGCCGTGCTGGAATCAGTCGCCCGGGCCATACTGGAAGCAGTCATCCTCATCGAACACACCGAGCCGCGGTCATCAGTTGCCGTGGCCACAGTGGGCTGAGTTCGGGTGTTCAGGTTACTGAGACAGTGAGACAGCTGTACGCAGCCGTGAAGCAGCGCGATGGCTGTACCAATCATCGGGGGTGGGGTTTGTGGGTTATATGTGGACTATACATATAATCCACTATATGTGCCAATCAGTCATCGTTTGTGGATTACCGGCTGACGCCGGCGTTTGTCACTGGCGTTCGACGCACCTCGTCATAGTTGGACTCGTTGAGATCTGTCTCGTCTTCCTCGTCGTCTTTCTTCCGGCGCTTGGCGGGAGCCGCGTGCCGCTCGTCCCTGAAACCAGCGGCCGCGTTAAACCAGACGTCAAAGCTGAGCAGCTCAACTAAACCGAAGGGCGTCAAACAACCGGAGTGTGACATTTTGCAAAACCAAGCGGCCAGCGGCCTCATGCTGAAAGAAATTAGAATTGTGATAAAAGTCAACAAACACCACAATATTTTTTTGGAAGCCAACATTATAATAGTATTTCAAAACAGTGCCTTCCTGAAATTGAATCAGGTATGCAATAGGCTCGCCCTTTGCATGAAAAAGTAAGGGGTAGCCAAAGAATGATTCTTCACTGAAAAGTTTCATATCAAACAGTGGATACTTAATAAAGAGATATACTTACGAGACATCAGTTGCCTGCCTAGCTGGACCAATATCAGACCGAGTGGTGAATCCTGTCGCTCTGAAAAAAAAAAAACAACATAGGTATTGTCAATGAACTGCTGCAAGGAGCTCTGTTCCGTCCAACCGGCGACTCAGTTGGTAGATAGGGCCCAGAGTTCCAGCCCTGACAGGGATGGACTGCAGTCAGTGGGAGTGGTCACAGACATTTTAAGGAGTGGGACTGACTGTGCCTGGTTTTGATTGGCATGTAAGCATTCTCATCTAAATTCTTCCATAGCCCAAACTTGACTGATCGGATGGTAGGGAACAGAGCCAAAACAACATGCTCTGATTAGCTTGGACTCCTGCCCTGGCAACCCATAATCCACCAAACAATCAGCTTCAAATTAACCTGTGTCATGGTAGGAGTCTCAGCCAAACTTGCCACGGTGGTGGGGGGGGGGGGGGGGAGGAGGTACACCTGATTACCTTGGAAACTAAGAAAGCTAGAAAGAAATCAAAAGCAATTATTAGCTCTTCGTAAGTTCTTTAAAAAGATATATAGACATTTTCATTCAGGTCAATGCTGAGTTCAATAGATGTCATAAAAGACAGAGCTTCCCAGAAAAACTCAATATTTACTTAGGGGAGAGAGGTCATATTGCGCCATGTTCTTAAATGCGCCACACCTTCCTCCTGTCCAAAATTCGATTCGAATGAATGCTCGAATGTGTGCATTTACTTCACCACCAATAACTCACTCTTATTCCGGTCCACGGTGGCAGGTGAGGTGTCTCAGCTTTCTCGCAGACCATTTTTTGTGATTTCCTATATTTTCTTACGCGAAACAGTCTATTTCGACCTTTGCTAGTGTCATGGTTTATCTTAGAGATAGTGATTCAACTAATAATCATTGTTAATTGCTCGTTTAATGATAGTTTTGAAAGTTTAACACCACCGTGGCTTCGCTGTCCTCGCCATATTTGAAGCTCATGAAAAATGTGTTCCATTCGTAATTGCGCCCACCCTATTTGCGCCCTATTCTTCAACCCAGAGAAACAGCATCTGGTGGTTGGGACACATTTCATTGAACACTTTGATTATTAGAGCGCTCACCTTACCATTACCTTAGCCTTCACAGCATAAATGGTTAATGGGCTGACACGTTCAAATAGGCTACTTAGTTAGGTGGCAAACCGTTGTTTTTAATAGGGCGCTTTTACATGAGAGGCATGGGCGCTTTTTGATGGGGAAGTCCGTAAATGCGCCCTTTGCAGGTGTGTCGGAAAACTTTTCTCTTGTTAATCTTTATGGGTTTGAAACAAATAAGGAGTTGTAATTTGATGCCAAAATAACTGAGGTACAATTTGAGATATCATCAAGCATGACAGCTGGTCAACTTTAGCCGCAATAGGCCGATATCCTTAAGGTGGCGCAATATGACCTCTCTCCCCTACCTACAATTTCTGACAAACTGGTAAAGTGGCAACTGGCAGATAAATGCATTTGACAGCTCTCTCAGAGCTCTTTTGTTAGCCTCATATTTGATCTTGAGGTAATTTCCCTCTTTTGCAATCTTTCAAAACTGAAGAAATCCACAAAACAAAATTATGAAAAAAAGAACACATCTTTTTAAGGTAGAAAAATAAGATCACACATAGATACCTGATACTTTTTACACAAAACATTTATAAGTTACACCCAACCACATGTTGAGTCAGGCAAGGTTGTGTTACATTAGGTAAGGTTAGGTCAGGTTAAATTAGGCTTTGTTATTTCTGCTTGTAGTGTAGGTACCTGATTTTTTTCAGCATTAAATGATAGTATCAGTATGAACAATTTTCTAGATTGATGCATGGTTTGTGACAATATGGTGTGGATTTTATTCAATTTTGAGCATAAGGTGCAAAAGAGAGATTTGAGCGATCTAAAATCAAGGGGTAAAACTACAAAAATAGGCAAATTTCACTAAAAGATCTCATCCGATTGATTTAACATCAAACATTGTATCAAATTTACCTCACCAACAGCGTTTCTTTCATTTGCAAATCATTGCATGATTTTGTAAATTTAGAGGAGGTTCAGGAAAATTGATGAACATAGTTGAGGAGTGCCTACCCATGCCCCCAATCTTCGATTAAACTATCATGGATCCGCAGGCAATATATACAGGTTAACTTCAAAATGAAGCCAGAAGTAGCTGTAGTGACAATTAATGGGCAGTGAATATTATTCCAATGATTTGAGAGCATGAATCTGCTTCCAAGAAGGCGAAAACCAAAATATTTATGCTATAATCGCGTGAATTAAGAACGTTGTCAAAAATGGCGCACTTCGTCTACACAATTCAGATGCCCCAGCAACGCTGTATAATAAATATATCCCTCCAGATTATGCTTACCCTCTTCCTACACCTGCTACATATCCAAGGGGCGCTGGTAGACCAATAAATGTCTTTTTTGTCTTAGCCACAAGGGCTGAAGGATGCGGAACGTTCGGCGCGTTCATTTTGTGTGATGCCGGCCAGAAATGTAACGACCTTGACTTTATTTATAGTGACGTGAATAATTTGTTATAAATATGCTTCTTTTCCTTTCTTCATACAATTTAAGGACAAAATATACTGCTCATTAGTTCCTGAAATATACTTTTCGAAAAAAGGTAAGTTATTTCATTGTGATTCTAAGTTTATGCCAAGTTTCGTCTCCATACTCGCCTCTATCAGAACGGATTGCATAAATGACGCAGCTGTGACAACGAAACTGTTCACTGTATGTTTGATGCTGCTTTTGCCATATATGGAAGTTGATTCCTGGCGATTCACAGCCTTTCATTGGTGAATGGCACTGCATAGATACGGCCCACTCGCATTACACCAATGAAAAGCTGAGGAAGCCGGCAGTGCGCTGATAATATACTTATATCGAACAGTGTTATGATTTTTGGCGCCGTTTCAAAGTTAATGCCTTGGCACTGACATAGACACCTCAACCTACTACTATACACTTTGGAAATTTGTCAGTGATTATAATTGAAAAAAAACGCGAGTATTTTGGCAAACCGGTAAGAAACACCAATTTATATTTTCATCTAAGTGAGTGCAAGCATGAGGCATGGCTCACTGGCATGAGCTTGAGCTTGTTGATGTGCCTGGATCAGGATGGTTCACGTATAGCTTAGGATTGGGAAATGTTCATTGCTCTAATGGGTGGACGTTCGGGGAAGGCTAATAGAGGGCACATATTTTGAGACAGCAACACATATTGTGGCACTTTTTAATAATATTATTTCAAATTCTGACAGGTGGTAAATTACCTTTAGGATTCTGTAAGCTTTATGGTTTAAACTTGTGTTGTTTTCTCTTATTTTTATCATTCAGGGACGCTCACTGCTGCATGTTTCATCCATTGTAATCCTGTATTTGAATCACCCCTCCTCGTTTGTTGAGTTTAGTTATTGCTTATTTCCACTCAGGAAACCTGAATGTCATTTATAATTCATTACAAAGCTGGTTTCATGTAAACATGTTCTAATCAAGCAGCTCAAATGTTTGCAGTTCAATTTCTTAAGATGTTGTAGTACCTGACTCGTGTTTTTCTCTTTCACCAGGTATAACAATGGATGTTGACATTGATGACCTGTTTGACACTGAACCAGTGAGGGATGGGCCTACAGAGGAACATGCAGAACCACTGTTTTCTGATGATGATGGCAATGATGAAGCCAATAATGCTGAGGGTGAAAATCAAGATGATGCTCAAAAGCAAACTGGTATGTCTTTAACCCGCGAGTTGCTGGGGGGGGGGCGTTAAATGCCCCCACTTTTTTCGCCGGGCCATAGCATAAAAACGGTGCGCCGCAGGCGCGCCAAATTTTGGGTACCTGTAGAGAATTGATTGAAGTTTATTGTGACAAAGTTTCAAAAAAAAAAATCGGTCGGAAAATTTTTGAGATATCGAGGTTTTAGTGACGTCATGATTTCTGAGTTTTTGACCAAAAACGGCATATGTTAAAAAAAATCATATAAAATCACAGAATAGACATACAGACATGCCGTAAACGCCATTAGACTGCCAATACCATGGTCAATCAAATGGCTATCTTCAATTATTGATTATCGTTCCGCATTTTCCAAAATCTTGAACTGAATCTTGGCAATTTTTCGTGACCATGATACATGAATTTCTTAAATTGAGCTTTTTGAGCCAAACACGTACACATATGATAAAATGAATGTCACCATCGTGTTCTACGCCCCAAATTACCTATAAACATGTGTCACAGGCTGCGAATATCAGTTTTGATTTTCGGGGATATGTGCCTACCCGGTTGACCTGACCTTGACCCTGACCTATGCTTGACTGACCCCTATATGGGGCTGACACTCTTGTAGGCCTTATAAGATGGATTGTGCACCGTTTTGACAGAGTTTATGGCGAGAGGCGCCCATTGCGAAGTCCTGAAGTCCATGCTACTGAAGCCCGATTTCAGGTGTTTGACCTGACCTTGACCCGCCTGTGACCTCAAAATTCAACTTTTAAGTACTCATCTGAAGCGTCTCGTCGCGCTCTTTCGTTTGCCGCCTCGTGCGTTTCGCTGCGCCTATTGGTTCTCGAGTTATCGGCTGGGGGCGTTTAACGCCCCCCCCCCCCCTCCCAGCAAACGGTGGGGTGGCGAAATACCCCAGCAACTGCCGGGTTAATCCATTTCCAAGTCATGGAAGCTGTAGGCTGTAGAGCGAGCATTGTTTGTTCAAGTCAATTAGGTATTTACATGAATAATATGTACCTGTTTTTTACTTGCCTCTTCTAGTCTGATGTAATGGATATCGCTACAGCTATCATCAGTTTTCAACATTTGTGACAGTTTGCTAACCTATTAGCATAGGTAGTAAGGTAGGTATGGTTCAGAATGGGAGAACTGACCTGTGATGACCAATGATACTTATGCTGGTAGACTAGCAAACTGTTCTTCCATTCCAAATCACTTAAAAGTATTCAGAACCAAAGGAATGGACTGGTTTAAATCAAAAGTGTAATGGCCAACTAGCCTTTGCTTTACCAGTAGTGTGTTTCTCTGTTACAGTCAAGTTATTTCTCTGCCCCTGTTTTTCACTGTTGCTTTGGATAATTCGAGGTGACTGGTCTAAAGCAATAACTATGCACTTCCAGCTATTGTTGTACACTGTACCAATGAAGCAGCAAATTCCTTTTATGCCGGTTTATTCGAAGTTATGACTCGACAACAGCGCTGGCCGTCAGTTGGCCGTCCAGCACGCCCGTCCCCGGACAGTACTGTCATCTCAGCGGGTGGTCTCTCAGTATCGTCCCAGCCTTCCTGCCCCCTTATCCCAACTTACCGACCCCTGGGCCCAGCACGGCGGATGCCCGTCAAGGCCTCAGTTGGCGGCTTACTGGAGACCGGATAGCCAACTACAAGTGTCTAACTAACCTTTATAGTGAACTCACCGGAGTCGACTCCGTGGTGTTAGTTGGCGGTCCGCTCTATCGGCGGATTCAGTTGGCGGCCCGCCGTCTCAGCGGGTCATCTCCTTGTCCGTCTCGGTCTAAAGAAGTGTCAAATACACCATTATAGTGTGTTTGATCTGTCCTGACAGGGTACTGGACTATAGGGTAGGGTGGGGTAATTTGAACATGTGGGGCAATTTGAACATAGTGAAAAACACAAAATTACGGAAAATCCATAAGTGGCATGACAATAAGACCAATGAGGGAAATTATCTAACTAAAAGGACTGTCATATGAACGGGGTTTAAAGTTTCAGGGAATGAATATGTTGACGCACACTGTAAAAAATCATTTTCGCAAGTAAAAATGCCTAAAAACACGTCATTGCATCTTCATTGCAGCGCAAAATCTTGCATTGCTAGCGCCTAATACGCCACGGCTTTTGTTGTACAATGACCTAATCAGTTCCTTCAATCCAAAATTTGCTTTTGATACCTGTTTTTAAATATGGCAAAATAACTTTTAGCGTGGGGTAATTTGAACATAGTGTGAGAATTTCAGTGAAGACAGGGATAGCTCCGAAAAAACAACGCTCCCAGTTTTTTTTTTGCCAATATTTTTGAGCCAAAGCAGTAGCAGATTAGTGATGCCAGTTTTATAAACTTTACGTCTAATATCCGTCTAATGTCCGGCATTTTCGTTGATTTCCGTTAAAAAATGTTAAAGTCAGCCATTTGTCCAAATATGTCAAAAATCACGCATTAATCAACACTCAAAACTGTCATTTAAATTGCTTATAATGTAATTTTACCAGCCGAAAAGTGTTCATTATATTGAGAGCCTAACAAGCTTTCCATTCGCCAACTATGCACGATTACTTTATCAAAAGCGCTGAAGTGTAGCAAGCCATCGTCCAATGTTGTCCAGTCTGCTACCTTTGTCCAACCAATTCCGAATTGGACATTGGACAAAATCAGAACTCTAAATATCCAGGTTTCGATTGGCACCACTATAGCAGATGCAGTAAGATTGGGAGAGTTTTTGTCGAACAAAATGATAGACGTTCTCGGTTAATTGAAGAGAAGCGAATTCTGTCAACTGACCGGCGTGCATCGTGCAGATATTGATACTCTGCAACTGTTTTTTTGTCGTTGTGTTGATTTTTCAAGTGAAGGTATCAGGTATGTTTAGAATTGTTCTGCCTATTTTGTTTATGGGTCAGACAACATCAGTGCTGGCGAGGCTATCGTTTTTATGACAGGTAAAGGAAGTATGTTCAAATTACCCCACGGTGGGGCAATTTGAACACACCGTGGCTTGGTGGAGAAGTGAGGCTATGCTATTCAACGTATGCTCGGCTCGTCCAAAAACGAGGCTTGCATGGTGAAAGCAAGTGACACTTGCGCTACTGAAGCAGTTTTTCTTCATCCATGGTTGAGCTGGAATTTGGTACAACGGAGAAGACGTAAAAATATGTTCAAATTACCCCACACTACCCTATAATTTAATGCAGAGTAGGTAACGAAAGTCACCTTTTGTAGAATCGCAGGAACCTACCGCTAACTCTGTAACTAACTGATTGAACAATCTCTCTTCAGATAGAAGCCAATGCGGCGGACCCCAAGCCGAAGAAGAAGCGCGTCTCTCGGCCTCAGCCGAAGCTGAACGCCGACCGTCTGTGCGGCCCGCGCGGCATCGGCATCATGGAGCAGACCTTCTCGGACCTGGCGTTCGCCGGCCGCGGCCACGAGCGGCGCGACCTCGCTCTGCTCATGGGCCGCATGCAGCACTGGGCGCATCGGCTCTTCCCCAGGAGGCCGTTCGACCAGACCATAGAGCAGATAGAGAAGCTGGGCAAGGGCAGGCAGGTCAAGGTGGGTGACGCCGTGCGCTCTGGCAGCTGTGAGTCACCGTGCGGCCGGCATTGGATAAAACATGAATTACGAAATCGTCGAGTATGTGGCTATGGCCTCGATATCACGCTGAACAGGGCTCGTCAATGATGCCAGGGGCACATTGTCGACCCTGCCCATGTCCAGTTTACCAGTGTTAATTACCAGTATACAGGGTGGGGCAGAAAGATTTACCTGTTTGTTTTCAGTCCATTACTTAAAAAGTTATGAACGGATTTTGATAAAATTTTACATGCAGCTTCCCAACTGACTCATGTATCAACTTTAAGATCGTTTTTACCTTTTGTAATAGTTGTTGGTGAGCTATGGCGAAGATGACTAAGTGAGCCCAAATTGCGGCGCTGAAGTAGGTTGGCCACAGCTCCCGAAGCGTTGCCAAACAGCTCGGTGTTGCCGTAAAAACTGTTTGCAGTATAATTAAATGACTTAAAAAGACAGTGTTAGTGTCGTCGAAGTACATGCCAGGCAGAACAAGGGATTTCCGCTTCAAAAAGCTAGTTTATATCGTGCACAAGAAGGTGTTTCAATTCCTAGGCGAAGCATGCGCAAACTGCCAAGGGAACTCTCTGTTTAGCCCAGAACCGCCAAGAGAATCATAAACGACGGCTTAGGCTTTATGTCATACAGGATGCAACGTCGACACCTAATTTCGGCGGCATCCAGAGAAAACCGGCTACACAGGATCCAAAAGACATTGGAGGAGATCAGGAGCGCCGGTAACAAGGCATTCTGCTGGTCCAATGACAACATGTTCATGCCTGAGCCCCAGAGACACTCCCAAAGCGTCTACATTTTGGCAGATGGTCCATCCAGCATCGATCCTGCTATTCGCACCATTTTTTGTTGCTTGAAGCCTGCTGGTGTCATGGTTTGGGCTACCGTCGCATCCGACGGCTCAAAAGGAGCCTTGGTCTTCATCAAGGAGGCTGTGAAAGTGAATTCAGAGGTTCAAGTCCATCTGCTGGAGGAACATGCTTTGTCTTGGGTCACTCAGTCGTTCTGAGACGGATATGTCTTCGTCCAGGACGGTGCGCCGCCGCAAACGGCCAACATCGCTCAACCGTGGTGGAAGACCCACTGCCTGGGTTCTGGGACAAAGACATTCGGCCATCATCAAGTCCAGACCTGAACCTGATGGACTTCGCAATCTGGGCCATCTGAGAGAGGAGGGTGTGTGCAGTGCCACACAGCAGAATCGCCGCCCTGAAGCTGGCCCTCGGGACGGCACCGTCGAATCTTGGCGGGGACACAGTGCGGCGCTCGTGCCCTCCGCAGAGGGACGTTTCGAAGCAGTGGTGAAGGACAAAGGTGACCATATTGAGTCATTATGCCGTCGCTGAGATGTGTACATGTTACTGCAAATATGTGCCAGAAATCAATTTGATATCTTTGTTCGGGGCCGAAAATTTAAGAAAATCAAGAGGTAAATCTTTCTGCCCCACCCTGTAACGCCTTTTGGGGCGACTAACGGAGCGAGCGAGAGGGTGAGCCTTGCACGTGCGAAATTTCGAGGGGGTACCTCCAGCTGACTTGTGCACGGCACCCTACTAAACCGGTCTCTAGCGATGTGCCAAATTTGAGCACAATCGGTCCAGCCGTTCTCGAGATCTGGAAGCGGCACCTTGCACGTGCGCACGTGCAAAATGGGTCCCAACTGACTTTTGCACGGCACCCTACTAACCGGTCCCTAACCATGTGCCAAATTTGAGCGCCATCGGTCCAGCCGTTCTCGAGATCCGGAATCGACCCCTGCACGTGCGCACGTGCAGCAGCACCCCAACTCTGACGCATGGATATACATTGCCTAGTGGGTGCCTACCTACATGCCAACTTTCAGCGCAATCGGCCAAGTAGTTACCGAGATATTGCAACAATTACAAAACGGACACCTCTTCGTTATGCACGTGGCACGTGCACAAGGGGTCACCCACATGCATCGGGAATAGTCCAATACTTGGTAGAAGGAATGAAGCTACCCTACAAAAATTACCGCATGTAAATCGGTCAAGTGGTTGCTGAGATATAAGCGTCGCAGAATCGTGACCACGGCCGGCCGGCCGGCCGGCCGCTCATACTCAGAAATTTCCGTTATTCTACGTAAGACTCCGCTCGCTTCGCTCGCTCCGTAATTACCGAAAGTTTGATGTACCTACCGCAGTAAGGTGATACGAGCTTCGGGTTCTGACGTCGATCTTTCTCGCCAGTTTTCAGCTGGCTGGACGTAGGGTTCTCCGCTGATGTTCGTAAATTAGCTCCACTCCTTCTCATGGTGCTGTCGCTTGGATGTGCTGAATCTCGCGCTGACTCGCTGAATCTCCAGGTGAACGTGAGGAAGCTGCGGATGGGTCTGAACGTGCTGCCGACGGAGGTGGACGGCGAGCGGGACGCGACCGAGCGCGGCGAGCCTGAGCGAGACGTGTTCGACGAGCTGATCGGCGGCTCGCCGCCCGGCTCCCCGGCGCCGCCGCGCTCCCCGGCGCCGGCCGAGCGGCCGCCCTCGCCGCAGTCACAGCAGCACATCGCCGCGGTACGCAGCCGGCGCGGCGGCGCGGCGCACTCTGCGTGCCCGGGCTTTCTGCGCACATCCGCGTGCCCGGGGATAGAGTTCCACTGGCTATGCTTGCGAGTATGCCGTTTAGAGAATGAAATGGCTGGTCTTTGTTTTAGCTCGCTAGTTTTCTAATGGGTTATCATGCTTGTCACTGTTTTCCTTTGTGCCTTATATTGTTTTTCGGTTTGTCACTGAGCTGACCGCTGAATAGGTAGTCACTGTGTGTGTCCTGCCCGCATTGTCTGCTGACCGGCCATCGTGCTGTCGTTGGCAGAGCTCGCTGACTGAGGAGCAGAAGGAGAGGATGCGGAAGAACCGGGAGGCGGCTCAGCTGCGCCGTATGCGCGCCCAGTTCAGCCGCCAGCAGCAGTCTGAGCAGTCTGAGCAGTCTGAGCAGCAGTCTGAGCCGCAGTCTGAGCCGCAGTCTGAGTGGCAGACCCCGCCCCGGCCCGGCCGGCACTCGGCGCCGACCTCCCCCCAGTCGGCCTCCCCGCAGCGGTCGCAGCCGGTCGGCGGCCGCTCTCCGCCGGCCGGTGGGGACCCTCAGTGACGGCCGGTCCTCCTCTCCGTCCGGGGCAGACGGCTCCGACTCGGGTGACTCCGAGGCCGGCCTGGTACCCGCGGCTCGGGGGCGCTACACCAGATGTCTGAGACGGCGCCGGCCGGCGGTGGGGACGGCTCAGACCCGGCAGACTCCGAGACCGGCCTGGTGCCGCGGCTGGGGGCGCTCCACCAGATGTCGGAGACGGCGCCGGCCGGCGCAGACACAGCGGTCAGTGAGGAGGCCCGGACGGAGGAGGAACGGACGCGCGCCGACCGCCTGGGACACCTGCATCAGATGTCCGAGTCGATGGCCGTACCGGCGGATGGTGGAGCGGACGCTGAGATGACCGCCGCGGACACTGAGATGGCCGCCGTGGACACTGAGATGACCGCTCTGGACACTGAGAGGACCCCCGCGGACACTGAGATGACGGCCGTACCTGGGAGACCGAGACGGAGACCGTCACGGCGGCGCCAGACCGCGCCGGATGGACGCCATCGTCATAGCTGACGACTCAGATTCAGACGTCATCGCTGACGGTCCGCGGACAGGCGTCATCGCTGTCGAGCCAGAGACGGACGCCATCGTCATCGCTGACGATTCAGAGGCAGATGCCATCGCTGACGGTCCGCGGGCAGACGTCATCGTCATCGCCGACGATACAGACGACGAAGACGCGGTGCTGATGTCCGATGAGCGGTGAATGGTGAATGAGGATCGACATGCGGTTCAAGTCTAGCATCTCGACTGGGTGGGCGCCGCTGCTTCTGGTGTGAGATTCAGACGGCGGCAGACAGACGGCGGGTTCAGTGTACGGACTGGACGGCGGGTTCAGTGTACAGACTGGACGCCGGGTTCAGTGTGCGGGCAGACGCCGGGTTCAGTGTACAGACTGGACGGCGGGTTCAGAGTACAGACTGGACGCCGGGTTCAGTGTACAGACTGGACGGCGGGTTCAGTGTACAGGCGGACGGCGGGTTCAGAGTACAGACTGGACGTCGGGTTCAGTGTACAGGCGGACACTCAGAGAGCCGAGCCCTGCCTCCCGACCTGACGCAGCGGTGGCAGGGTGAAACGGTACCGGTAATCTGACGCGCTCGCCTAACCCAGTGGAACGTGTCCCTGTTTTTCGTCCGTATCGAATGGTCAGACTGATTTGCTGGTGATGCGACACCTACTCTAACGATATGCAGTGCTGACGCACGGTGGCGTGGCCTGATCACCCGGCTGCCTGGCTGGCTCGCTGAAGCGGCTCCGCCACGGAGGTACCACAAACGGCGCCCCTTAGACGGCTGCTGCTGAGTCCGGCAGTGGTGTGCCGCAATACGACTGTGTGCCGCCCGTCAGTCGGCTGCGGACCGCTGTTCCGTGATCCGTCCTCCGCCGCCGAGTCGATCTCCGTGGTTCCGCCCGGCGCCGTTGGTGCGAACTGAGCCCCGGGTGGTGTAAAGGGGCGACGTTTGCCGCTCTGTACGCACAGTAACTGCCGAGCGTAGTTTCAGTGTCTCCAGTGTCGCTGCCTGCCCTGGATTTGTGAGTCACGGGTGCGCGGCAGCTGATGACTGGCGCTGCTGTGTGCAATGGATCCACCTTGACGTGCGCCAGAGAATCCTCATCGCGCAATTGTACGCTGAAATGTATAGAAAATACTAGGTCATTTTATCAATCGTTTTTTATTATCATTTTGGGGAAGTTTTTTTTTTTTTTTACTTATGGCGATATGGGCGGGGCGGGACTAGCCCTGGCAAAAGAGCCGTTGATTACGGTGGTGAAACTAAAGGCCGGCACTTGGCAGCGACCACCTGTTCAGGGACCGGAGTCGTAGCGACGTTCAGTGGTTAGCAGCGGAAGCTTACGTTCACTGATCCTCCGCCAGGGGTGCTGGGAGTGTCGAGACCGCCCTCCTGTCCGCCCAGCTCTCACAGTGCGTTTGGAAATCGGTTGCGAGGTATAGGCAGAGGCGGAGCTTCCTATACAGTTGGAGGGGCGGGTGCCCCACCAACTTGCCATTTTGCCCCACCAATGCCTAAGCGTTTTGCCCTACCAGCTTAGGCTGATTTGTAGGACTTTGTTGCTTTGTAATTCGATCTTTTTCGCATTGAGGAGCCTTGTAATGTTTGTGTAATGCCAAATGTTAAATCTGTAGTGTTGGGAAATGATTCCGTTTTCATGTTATTCAATTTGACAATGGGACATTGTAGGTTTGACGACTTTTTTCCCCACCAACCTCTTCGGAAAAGCTCCACCCATGGGTAGGTATAGGTAATGCTGGAGATCCGCGGCCGATGGCTCAGTTGTAGGCTGTAGCTACGGGATGGTGTGGCATCGGTCCATTCCGGAAACATCCGTTTTATAGCTGGGTCAGTAACTTTCGTACAGCTTAATTCGTGTCTCAGGCCTCCGTGTTTTCCGCTGCTTAATTCGACGAAAACAATTACAAGTCCTTTTTTATCGAGCGAACCTCTCATCGCTGAAATGAATTCCTGCCTGACATTCCATGACAGTGTGTGCGGCGTGGCGTGGCTTTGGTCGGCGCCGCAGTCACGTCCGATGTCGTCCACTGAGGCTGCCACGGTCTCAATCGGTGCTGCACCCCCCCCCCCCTCCCTCCAGTCAGTGTGCTGGGTGACCAAGACCATACCCCCTCCCAGAGTCAGTGCCGGGCCCGGCTGACTGCGCCTGTCCCACCCAGAGTCCCATTCAGGTCCCGCCGCAGCGGCCTGTCCCACCCAGAGTCCCATTCAGGTTCCGCTGCTGCGGACGGTCCCACCCACGGTCCCGCCGCCACGGACGGTCCCACCCGGGGTCCCACCTTATTTACGGGCCGTAAACGTCACGTCGGCGTCGGGAAGCCTGAAGCAGCTGTAATAAAGTGGGATTGACGGCTGATGGGCGGTTCGGCTCGGTGCCGGTGCCGCCCGGTCCTCTCAGCCCGCTGTGAAGGTGCCGGTGCCGCCCGGCTACTCTAAGCCCGCTGTGAAGGTGCCGGCAGCCCACGGCTCCTCTCAGCCCGGCGCCCGCTGTGAAGGTGCGGACTGCGGGTGCCGCCCGGTCCGCTCAGCCTGCTGTGAAGGTGCCGGCAGCCCAGGGTGGTCGAGTCCAGCAATCATTTCTCTGCATTAATGTTATATCAGTAGAATATAATTTTTCCCGCACCGTGTTTCTCTTGAGGCGCGTAGAATGTTTTATTATTGAACGGAATTTTAGAAAACGTTTTCAGGAATCCTAATATGTATTTACGACCACCTCTTATACGTTAGAGACGCTGTAAAAAGGCATACGGGAGAGGGTTAGGTACGCTTTCTTTAGCTACAAAACCTCTGCACAAGCTTTGGTTGATATTAGATTTGTGAAAGATAAAACAAGCAAACGAAAAAGTGGGTGGTATTTCAAAATAGGCATTGTTTTGGGCATGTCCCATATACGGAGGAGTTAAATTTTAAATGCACGTGTTCGTACCACTGCTTGCGTTTTCACACTACAAGTTTGATAACGATTTGTAGCGACAATATAACGTCTTTTATTCGCCTTTTTACCCGTTAATACCAACCATGCCAAAAAAGACCGCCCGTTGCTCGCTTGCCTGTGACGCCGATCAGCTCAAGGCCAAGAGGGCTCAGTATCAGAGCATTCTGTCGGACCTGGCGCAGCTCGACACCGACAATGACGCCTCGCGCGTGCTCAACTACAACAAGCGCGAGGTGCTGCAGCTGCTCGAGCAGATCAGGGGCGCGGCGCCGGCCGGCCGCGGCGCCGACACGCCCGTGCCCGGCTGGCTCAACGTCGAGACGATGGTGGGCGCGGTGGCCACCGGCCGGCCGGGCGGCCGCGCCGTCGGCCGCGCGCGAGACGAGGCTATCACCGGCCTGGGCCACCTGTTCTACATGGCCGGCGCGCAGATGACCTCCGTGCTGGACGAGTCGCTGGAGGCGCTGCTGTCCGTGCTGCGTGACGCCGAGAGCGGCGAGCCGCGCCGCGTGCTGGCCATCAAGGCGCTGGGCGAGGTGTGCTGGAGCTGCGCGCCGGCGCAGGCGCGGCTGCTCGCCAAGGGCGGCGTGCAGGCGCTGGTCGAGTGCGTGCACAACTACCGCCAGCAGGCGTGGGCAGCGCGCTGGGCCTGCCACACGCTGGCCGTGGCGCTGGCCGACAACGCCGACGTGTGGAGGCACCTGCGTCAGCTGGAGACGCTGGAGACCACCCTGTCGCACCTGGCGCTGGACGAGCCGCTGTGGACCAACTGGGACAACAACCACGCGTCCATCCTACACGGCCTTCTGTACGGGCCGCGCACCGTCCGCCAGTGACGGCCGGCTGTGACGCCCGTGCTGACCGGGTCACTGTCTAGTCTCTGGTTCCACCGTGTCGTCGGCGACGTGCCGTCCAGTATGTAGGTATAGATATTCAGTTGGGCGGCAGTCGCCCAATATACAATCTCTGCGCACATTCTGTTTGGTTGTGATATAGGCACTGGCAGTGCGTCTGAGTGTTATGTTTCTAAGTCCCCGCTTAGTCCCAGCCTTTCAAAACGGATATCTTATATCTTATATATAATATTATAAGATCTCTATGTCGATGCCTTCATCCCGCATGACAACTCCGCACGAACATTGGCAATTGAACTTACGCCTTACTGGCGTTTACTTTTCTGACTCGGACAATAACACCGAGGCACTCAAAACATTCCTTTGATGCCTCGGATAATGATATAAAATGGATTTTTACATAAAGGAAGTTACTTTTTTAATCGGTGTCTCTCTCTCGCTCTCGCTCTCTCTCTCTCTCTCTCTCTCTCTCTCTCTCTCTCTCTCTCTCTCTCTCTCTCTCTCTCTCTCTCTCTCTCTCTCTCTCTCTCTCTCTCTCTCTCTTTCTCTTCCTCTCGCCAGTCTTTGAGCTCCTTAAAGTTAGCAGCACTCATTCAGGATAAGTTAGTTCATCGTCGACCGTCGTTAAAAACTTCAAGCTCAAGTTTGTCGCGCGATCACGGCAGCATCCGAGTCGGCAGACCAATTTTATGATAAATGCGCCATGATTTCATTAAATTTCAACAGCGCTGATGTTTTCTGCGTTTTATGATAGCGGTGACGCAAAGTGCTCATATACACTTGTCCATTGTTTTCACTGATTGTATCTGCTAATGGCCTGCGCTCCCAATTGTCCAGAAAACTAAATATTTGACGGAGCGGTATGCCATTCATCTCGCACTTGACCCATGAAGTCGTATCAGGAGCTCGACTGTGCCCGCCTTTGATCGGCGCGCGCCTCTTCCTGGAGACGAGTGCCGGGCTGTGCCGGGCGACCGTTCTCTGTGGCGGCGGAGTGGCAGTCGGCCGACCCCCCGGCAGGCCCCGCCGGACTCTCGGCCCCCGGACGGCAGTCGTCCCTTGTTGAGTTTGTATTCATGTTATCGTTACAATTAAAGTAAGTTCGTTTGCGTCGAGTCGTAGTGTGTTACTGCGCTGTATTTATCGAGCTAGCGGCGCCGCCCGGCCCGGCCGTTCGTCATGACCCATTACCAGCCAGCCCGCCGTGCTCTGCAGTGCGGCGCATGCGCGCTGACCTGGGGCGCCGCGCCGGTCACGTGGCTCGTGGCTGACCGGGTCGACGCCGACGACTCGGCTCCACCCCCCGCGGCGCGCTCGCTCCCGCCGCGGTCGCCAGTCCCTCCACCGTGGACGGAACAAATCGCGTGGTCCAGCCAACCATGAACGGCCGTTTTAGCTAATGTGGTCAGAATACAGACTATGTTTAAAACATGACCGCCACTCATAGGTGTGCAATATCCTAAATAACCATGACGCACAGCTAGAGACGAGCCTCACTCTGGCCGTAAAAAGTGGCATGTAAATGAGCTCACTTTCTATTTTTAGACGCTATGATTTGATGTAATACCCACCTACTTGGAAAACATCGCATGTTAAATTAGTAAACTATTCCACCAACGGGAATCAGCTGTTGCACCTGGATAAAATAAATATATTCCAGGAACAGTTCAGCATTTTGATGCTTAAATGCACACGTTTTAAATGCATATATTCTTTATTGCCCGCTTCTATTAAATTCAAAGGGCGTTTTCTGTTCACTATACTGGGGTGGTGGCACCCTGTCGCGATTCATTGCGTGGCAGGGCCTCGTAGCCATGCCAGTTACGCTGATCGCATATGAATAAGGGCCGGCCGTTTCGGCTTACCGGCGCGGCGGCCGGGCGGGGCGGGGGCGCAGAGCTCGGCCGGGGTTGGGCGCCTCTCCGTCATAATACTCATACGCCACTGCATGCACTGGTTGGATCGGCCGAACCGCTGCGCTGCCGCTGCTGCTCCCCGCGGGTCTCCGGGCGGAGCGCGGCGGCGGCGGCCGGAGACTGGGGCGGGCGGGAGCGCAGCTGGCCAGTCCGCCCGATCGGTTCACTGCCTCCGGCCGTATACCGTAACGTATCGGCCGGCGGCCGCTGTCGGCTGACTGATTGGCGGCGGGATTTCCACCGCTGCACTCCGGCCGTCACTGGGGTCACTGGAGTTACTCTCTGCCACCAACGAGGTCACGGTCTGGCGTCACTGGGGCCACGGTCTGTCGTCACTTTGTCCAGTCCAATGTCCACCAGTCTGATCAGCCGTCCAATGTCCATCAGTCTGGTTGGTCAGTATTCCAATGTTAATAAGTAATTAATCTGAAAAACACGGAACAAATAGTGCATGGACGCGTTTCGATTATTAAATCTTCATCAGCATGACATAATCACAGAGAAAACAAGATATAGCACACAAACATTCGAGCTCGTCACAGTGCAATCGTCTTGATTTTAAAAATTCATGCATATGACATATTCACTACTAATCCACCTGTAGGAGAATATCCACGAAAAAATGATAGCAAAATAGATCACTGACATATTAGGTCGTTCAATAAGTAACGAACAATCGGTCATAACTTCTTTATTTCTTTATTTAACACTTTCAAACTTTCACAGATTATAGATCAGACATTTCTGAATGCAGCCTATGCCTCAAACCAGCCGCCGCCCGCCTGCACACACTTCTCCCAGCGTTCCGGCCAACGCCGGAATTCCGCCCGGAAAAACGCGTTTTCCGTCTTTTTCACCCAGTTCATGACAGCGCACATGACTTCAGCGTCGGTCTCGAAGTGTTCACCACGGAGGCCATCCTTCAGGGGGACCAGAGGTGAAAATCTGAAGGAGCCAGGTTCGGACTGTAGGGCGGCTGGGGCATGATATTCAGCCCTGTCACGCGTTCTCCTCGCGCGTGGCGTGAGACAAGTGCGGTCGGGCGTTGTCATGGTGTATGGTAATGTTGTTGACATCCGAGCCGCGCCTCTTCTTCAGGATTGTTTTTCTCAGTCTCCTGCAGGACTGTGATGTAGCGGCCCGCTGTCCATAGTCCGCCCAGGTTCAAGAAAGCCCACCAGGATGACACCATGACAACGCTCGTCCGCACATGTCTCACGCCACACGCGAGGAGATCGCGAGACAGGGCTGAATATCATGCCCCAGCCGCCCTACAGTCCGAACCTGGCTCCTTCAGATTTTCACCTCTGGTCCCCTGAAGGATGGCCTCCGTGGTGAACACTTCGAGACCGACGCTGAAGTCAGGTGCGCTGTCAAGAACTGGGTGAAAAAGACGGAAAACGCGTTTTTCCGGGCGGAATTCCGGCGTTGGCCGGAACGCTGGTAGAAGTGTGTGCAGGCGGGCGGTGACTGGTTTGAGGCAAAGGCTACATTCAGAAACATTTGATCTATAATCTGTGAAAGTTTGAAAGTGTTAAATAAAGAAATAAAGAAGTTATGACAGATTGTTCGTTACTTATTGAACGACCTAATACATATGACACATGGATAACAACAAATTTATACAGAACGATCATGAACAAGTAGGTAACTACTTATACAAACTAATGACGCGTCTTCTTTAAACTATACATCGCCGCTGGTTTTGCCCATTTCATCGAACCCACCCTTATATTAATCGTTTCGTTCATTGCTATAAATGCCGCCTCTGTCGCCTTCCGATTGTCTTTGTTTTTACATAATGCTATAATTTCCGCCCCGCCCCATCTTGGTAAATGATGTGTTTTCTGAGCATGAATTACTACCGCGCTATGTTCTGCGTTGTTTCGCATGTCCCGCTTATGTTCCTTTAATCTAACGTCTAAGCCCCTCCCGGTTTCCCCTATATATGATTTGTCACAAGAACCACAAGGAATCTTATACACTAAACTTTTTTCTTCTCCATTTCTTTTGGTGTGGTTTTTCAGTATATCCCCTACCTTTGCTCTCGAAGAGAAAGCTATTTTAAATCCAGTCATTTCAATCTGTTTCGCTATCATCTCGGCTGGTTTCGAATTGGGAAGTGTTATATATCGTTCGGTTTTCTTCGTCTTTGTTGTCGCGCTTCGCTTTCGAATATTGATAGCTTTTCTTTTCAAGTTGACTAGAAATCCTTTGGGGTACTTTAATTTCGTGAATGATGCCATGATGTGCTGAATCTCTTCATCTATAAACTCTTCACTACAAATGCGATACGCTCTAAAGAAAAACCCCAACACTATCCCACTTTTAACCCGATCATTGTGTCCAGAATAGAAATGTACGTACGACTCTTTGTTTGTAGGCTTTCGATATACATTAAATTTTGGCTGACTCCCACGCATGATCACATACCTATCAAGAAATGCAATCGTCCCGTTGCTTTCTTTCTCAAGTGTAAACTGAATCTTTTCCTCTACCGAGTTAAGTCTATCAAGTTTGTCCTCTAAGTTCGTTTCTTTTGGCACTACTACGAGAATATCGTCAACATAACGCAACCAAATTACGTTACTGCCCATGATGCCCTGATAATGGTGCTTTTCGAGCCACTCCATGTACAAACATGCTGCCACCGGACTCAGTGGTGACCCCATGGCTAGTCCCCTATGTTGACTATACTCATCAGACTGAAATTGAAATCCCCCAAAGTTAAGGCACATTGCAAGTAATTTCAAATAGTCATCTTTTGGCACAGGTAACTGTTCGGAGTCCATATTCGCTACTACAGATTTGATCGCCTCTAACGCACCGTCTACCGAAACGTTAGTAAACAAAGACTTCACATCGAAACTAGCCAGGAACTTATCTGATAAGTCCATGTCCTTGATCTTGTCCATGAGATCCTCAGTGTTGCGGAGATGTGCGTCACTGATCGTGCCCAACGTGCTTGAAAGAGGCCAGGCCAAGACCTTCGCGAGTCGGTGTGGAGCACTGCCGATCCCTGACGTTATCGGTCGCATCGGAACATTCGTTTTGTGTAGCTTCGGGAGACCGCGCATCCGTGGTGCAGCAGGCGCCTCTTCTAGCAGATGGAGAATATTTTTCCCTTTTTCGGATTTCTTGAGTACCTGTCTTGCTTCTTGATTGAACTTCTTACTAATTTTGTCCGTGTATCCCGAAGGTTT